TCTTCTATTCTATATTCTATATTCTTGAAGAGCACAATGCCCCGATTCCAAAAATATATAGTTTGTCTACATTTGATTGAACAGTCTCTCATATATTCGGCTCCAAAAATTGTAAAAATACTATCCTACTACTGATTTTGTGAACCATTCCACCTATACAGGTAAAAACTGCAGGTAAAATTTGAGGTACTTGGTTTGTCTGATAGTATTTTAAAAATTTTTAGAACCAAATATGTTGGAGACGGCTCAGATATAGAACCAAATATAGGGCGTCCCATTTGAAAAAAGCTGAAAGCATGCGACATTTCGCATTTCTGATATTCAATTTTTGTTTCTGACCATGAATTATTCTAAAAATTTAGCCAATACTGTACAACTTTTGTTTTTACACCTTTCATCTACTTGTAAAGGTGAAGGCGGTAGGCTACAGGTGGGGTGTCAATATATAGAAAAACACCCTGTACTTGAACAATAACAGGTGAGTGTCTTATTTGAAAAGTTCAACAGTATATTGGTGAATAGATGGCTGCGGAACTCGCTGCGCTCGTCCCGCAGAGGTCCACCCATAAGTTCCGCAACAATTCACTTATTTGTATTTGAACAATAACTTATTATTTAAAGTCAGAATTTGTGAGATTATCCACTTTTTGTCAATTTGCCTTTTAACAAGAATTAGTAATATAACTTTAGCAGACTAGTAATATAATGTGATAAGTTACTTAAGTACAAACGAGTGGATTGTTGCGGAAATTATGGGTAGACCTCTGCGGGACGAGCGCAGCGAGTTCCGCAGCCATCTATTCATCAATATGTTGTTTAATTATGATACCAACCTGATTCACTCAAATGTGAGTTATTCTCATTTGTTTAAAAAGTACACTTTTCACGTGAGTGTCTTATTTGAAAAGTTCAACAGTTTATTGGTCAGTAAATGACGACCCCCACCTATAGCCTTTACCTTTACAGGTAGAAGGAAGGAGTAAATACAAAAGTTGTATACAGTTTTGGCTGAATTTTTAGAATTCATGGTCAGAAACAAAAATTGAATGTCAGAAATGTGGATTGTTGCATGCTTTCAGCTTTTTTCAAATGGGATGCCCTATATTTGGTTGTATATTTGAGCCATCTCCAACATATTTGGTTCTAAAAATTTTGAAAATACTATCAGAGAAACCAAGTACCCCAAATTTTACCTGCAGTTCCTACCTGTATAGGTAGAATGGTTCACAAAATCAGTAGTAGTATGGTATTCTTTATATTATACCTTTTATAAATAATAAAAAATATATAAGAACTCAATATGAATAGTTTAACAGTATATTGGTTAGTAGATGGCTGCGGAACTCGCTGCGCTCGTCCCGCAGAAGTCCACCCATAAGCTCCGCAACAATCCACTCATTTGTATTTGAACAATAACTTATTATATCAAGTCAGAATTTGTAAAATTATCCACTTTTTGTCAATTTTCCTTTTAACAAGAATTAGTAATGTTACTTTACCAAACTAGTAATATCTTTCGACAAGTTATTCAAGTAAAAACGAGTGGATTGTTGCGGAACTTATGGGTGGACCTAGCCATCTATTCATCAATATGTTGGTCAAGTACAATACTAACCTGATTCACTCAATTGTGAATTTTTCTCATTAGTTTAAAAACTACACATTTCAAGTGAGTGTCTTATTTGAACAGTTCACCAGTATATTGGTAAGTAGATGGCTGAGGAACTTGCTGCACTCGTTCCGCAGAGGTCCACCCCTAAGTTCCACAACAATCCACTCATTTGTACTTGAACAATAACCCTTTAGATATATAAAGTCAGAATTTGTAAGATTATCCACTTTTTGTCAATTTGCCTTTTAACAAGAATTAGTAATGTTACTTTAACAAACTAGTAATATAATGTGACAAGTTACTGAAGTATAAACGAGTGGATTGTTGCGAAACTTATGGGTGGACCTCTACGGGACGAGCGCAGCGAGTTCTGCAGCCATCTATTCAGCAATATGTTGTTTAATTACGATACTAACTTGACTCACTCAAGTGTGAGTTATTCTCAGTTTAAAAACTACACGTTTCAGGTGAATATCTTATTTAAATAGTTTAACAGTATATTGGTGAGTAGATGGCTACGGAACTCGCTGCGTTCGTCCCGCAGTGGTCCACCCATAAGTTCCGCAACAATCCACTTATTTGTACTTGAACAATAACTTATTATATAAAGTCAGAATTTGTGAGATTATCCACTTTTTGTCAATTTGTCTTTTAATAGGAATTAGTAATGTTACTTTACCAAACTAGTAACATAATGTAACAAGTTGTTTAAGTACAAATGAGTGAATTGTTGCGGAACTTATGGGTGGACCTCTGCGCGCAGCGAGTTCCGCATCCATCTATTCATCAATATGTTGTTTAATTACGATACTAACTTGACTCACTCAAATGTGAGTAGTTATTCTCAGTTTAAAAACACACGTTTCAGGTGAATGTCTTATTTGAATATTTTAACAGTATATTGTTGAGAATACGGCTGCGGAACTTGCTGCGCTCGTCCCGCAGAGGTTCACCCATAAGTTCCGCAATAATCTACTTAATTGTACATGGATAATAATTTATTATATAAAGTCAAAATTTGTAAGATTAGGACTATTCACTTTTTGTCAATTTGCCTTTCAACAGGAATTAGTAATGTTACTTTACCAAACTAGTAACATAATGTGACAAGTTATTCAAGTACAAAATAGTAAATTGTTGCGGAACTTATGGGTGGATCTCTGCGGGACGAGCGCAGCGAGTTCCGCAGCCAACTATTCATCAATATGTTATTTAATTATGATACTAACCTGATTCACTCAAATGTGAGTTATTCTCATTAGTTTAAAAAGTACACGTTTCAGGTGAGTGTCTTATTTGAGCAGTTCAACAGTATATTGGTGAGAAGATGGTGAGAAGATAGATGGCTACGGAACTCGCTGCGCTAGTACCGTAGAGGTCCACCCATAAGTTCCGCAACAATCCACTTATTTGTACTTGGACAATTACTTATTATATAAAGTCAGAGTTTGTAAGATTATCCACTTTTTGTCAATTTGTCTTTTAATAGGAATTAGTAATGTTACTTTACCAAACTATACCATTTCCAGCATTATTTCACACTAGTGAAATTTGATTTCAAATGAATGAAAACTAAATTCACATCAGTGAAATCTAATTTCGCTCAAATGAAAATTGATTTCAAAGAAACGAAAACTAATTTCTCACAAACGAAATTTGATTTCACATTTTTGAAAATGAATTTCAAACTGACCCTAATTAATACTCAGTTTTCAAACATTTATTATTTCAATTTGAAAAAACATCAACAACGTTATTTATTTCAACCTAATGAAATAAACCCACTAAGTTTAGATAACATAAAATACAATCATGAAACAACAATAATAATTATGAATTATTTAAATAAATTAAACTTCAGCTTGGAAAATCACCTGGAAAGGTATGCAGCTATCTCAAGAGTGAGAAGACTCAACTGAAGTTCAATTTATTTAAATAATTTATAATTATTATAGTTGTTTCATGATTGTATTTTATGTTGTGTGAACTTATTGGGTTTATTTCATTAGGGTGAAATAAATAACATTTGTTGATGTTTTTTCAAATTAAACTAATAAATGTTTGAGAAATGAGTATTAATTAGGGTCAATTTGAAATTCATTTTCAAAAACGTGAAAACAAATTTCATTTGTGACAAATTAGTTTTCGTTACTTTGAAATCAATTTTCATTTGAGCGAAATTAGATTTCACTAAGGTGAATTTAGCTTTCATTAATTTGAAATCAAATTTGAATGGTTTAACAGTATATTGGTGAGTAAATGGCTGCGGAACTCGCTGCGCTCGTCCCGCAGAGGTCCACCCATAAGTTGCGCAGTAATCCACTTATTTGTACAGGGTGCTTTTATATATTGACCCCCACCTACAGCCTTTACCTTTACAGGTAGAAGAAAGGTGTAAATACAAAAGTTGTACAGTTTTGGCTGAATTTTTAGAAACCATGGTCAGAAACAAAATTTGAATGTCAGAAATGTGAAATTTTGCATGCCTCCAGCTTTTTTCCAATGGGATGCCCTATATTTTATTCTATATTCTTGAAAAGCACAATGCTCCGATCTATATTCGATTGAGAAATCTCTCATATATTCGGCTCCAAAAATTGTAAAAATACTATCCTACTACTGATTTTGTGAACCATTCTACTTGTATAGGTGAAAGCTGCAGGTAATATTTGAGGAAGTTGGTTTCTCTGATAGTATTTTTAAAATTTTTAGGACCAAATATGTTGAAGACGGCTCAACCAAAAACAGACAAACTATATAGTTTTGGAATCGGGAAATTGTGCTCTTCAAGAATATAGAATCAAATATAGCGCATCTCATTTGAAAAAAGCTGGAAGCATGCAATATTTCAAATTTCTGACATTCAATTTTTATTTCTGACCATGGATTTTAAACATCTAGCCAATACTGTACAACTTTTGTATTCACAACTTTCTTCTACCTGTAAAGGTAAAGGCTGTAGGTGGGGTGTTGATATATAAAAGACACCCTGTACCTACATTGGAAATTTTTTTGCAGTTTCTTCGTCAAAAATAACTTCGAGGTCTTTTATCTTCAAAGTGCAGCCCCCTATCAACTTATTAAAGTAATCAATAGTGAAAGTGTTGAAAGCAAGTCTGTTAGCTAGACAGACATTAATACATAGTTAGAATTAGAATTATTATTTTATTCAATAATTTGTAAACGTGAACGTTAGAAAAGGATAAATCTTTCGTACAGTCCATTTTCGTCGTCGTTTTTATTCATTTTTATCTTACTCATTATATTTTTTTGTCTGTTTTAATTGCCTCGTCATTAAATATTTGTTGATTGTACTAAATATGATAGTTTTGCCTGATAATGTGAATATAATGGCCAATAAAAAAATATTGTTCTAATGAGTATCTACCAATAGTCGAAATTGGTCTACAAAATTGTATAAAAGGCTGGCAAACAAATTGAAATTATTCATTTTTTTCTATAATGCTTTTAAAATTTTTGTTTTGTGCCATGTCATTGGTCGCTGCAGTTGGTAAGAGAATTAATGTTACTATGTTTTTGTACGGTACCTACTTATTTTATTATTCTATACCTAACTAGCTGACCCGGCGAACTTCGTACCGCCTCTGAATTATTAAATACCTATTAAATGTTGTGTGAACGTATCTATTAGCTGAATCAAATTCAGTTTTTTTCGATGGTGAATTTGGCTTTGGTTGAAAAAAAATATTGTTTACTCTCTGGATCAGAAGTCACCTAAAATTAAAATTTTACATCATCCCTTTTTAGGCAGCTTGTGGGCATTATTCTTGTAAAGTGTACCACCAAATAAATAAACTCAGGCACAGGAATGTTCAAAAAATGTAAAGAAAACAAAAAAAATCTCCAGCGCAGCCCTGTTTCATTTTATCTGCACTGCATGCACTGCATGCACTGCAATACTCCATCTGTTCTACTGTAACTGCACTATTCTATCTGATCTACTCTTTCTGCACCACTTTATCTGATCGGAATAGTGGAATAGTTCTGTTCGGAATAGCTCCAGTTCCTTAGCAGTATTCTGTTCTACTGTATCTGCAATGAAATTACCGCGCAACGGCGAGCTTCGTTCTAGGTACCTATCATATATGGCGCCGTATACAAAATGGTTGTGGCGAACTCATAACCTGGCTCTCTGCCACTCGACACCAGCCGGACGGAGCACTCCAAACAGTCGGCACGGAACACGGCTGTCAAGGGATGCTTAAGAGGAGAAACGGACCTTAGCCACAGAACGTCAATGGTCAAGCGTCAAAAAAAGACAGGGAGACCAGTTCGCGCTCTTTCGGAATGAACAACAACATTTTTCAAATTATTTTTTTCTTATTGCTTATGTTTTCAGATATAAAATACATATGTTTTCTTTTGTGTTATGTCCTCATTAAAATGAAAAAAAATATATAAAATTTCAAATTTTTTCCGTTGGCGCGAAAACGATTACCTTCAAGGTGTCGGTACTTGTGACGTCAACTGTTTGTGAATACAACGTTACGGTCTGTTCTCACAAGAGTCTCTGACACTTTTTAAACTGTCTTAAAGAATTTCTCGTATTTACCTTCGACTGCATTGAGTGTGGTTTTTACGTGGTGTTTCTGTATTTGGCGTATAGGGCATGTCCATGTGACGTCACAAATGAGTTTGACAGTTGCCCTGAGGTAAAACAAATCATTTATTTACATTCGTTTAGATAAGGCCGGTTATGTTTTATGCGGTTTTCACAGCTTTTTCACAAGTTTTGGTGTTATTTTGTTTTAAAAAAGTTAGAGCGGAGTGTTTGTGTTCCAGTCTATGTGGTCTTTCATCTAAAAGTTTGCTAGGATTTTCTATAATGGATTAAATTCAGGTTTTTTCCAACAAATATCAAAACCAAGTGTCACAAGAACAAATATATAAGTACAGTTACTCTATATTCAATCTATTTTTCTGTCAGATCTTCTCTTTTAAGAACATTAATCAATTTTTCTCTTCTCTCTTGAGCTAACAAATCAAATCATCTCCCATTGTTATTTAAAATTTATGGAAACCTATGGAAGGATATTGTATCCCTTGCGCTATACTGCCACAATTAAGAACTGAACAAACTCTAGGCATGTCCAAGAAACTTCTGGAGCACACAAAAGGTATTTATTTTAAAAAATCTAACTAAAAACCTAAAAAACACTGTAAATTATATCTTTGTTTTACCTCAAGGCGATTGTCAATAGTGTCAAACTGTCAGATCGTGTACTTGCCCTATAGGGCAAGATAGATTCTTGTGACACTTGGTTTTGATATTTGTTGGAAAAACCTTGAATTTAATCCATTATAGAAAAACCTAGCAAACTTCTGGATAAAAGACCACAGACTGGAACATAAACACTTTACTTCAACTTTTTTAAAACAAAATAACACAAAAACTTGCAAAAAAGCTGTGAAAACCGCATAAAACATAACCGGCCTAATCTATAACAATGTAAATAAATGATTTGTTTTATCTCAGGGCGATTGTCAAACTCATTTGTGACGTCACATGGACATGCCCTATTGTGACATTTTGTGTTTTGTGTTTCAATGGCTACGTTCACCAGAACTAAAACGGATTGTAAACAGTTTACAAATACCAACAGAATATATTGGGTAAACTCTTGGTTCTGCTGAACGATTCAACTTTTCAATGATAGAACGTCACCTTCTGAATGACAGGTCACCATACAAAACACAGTGTTGAAAATTATAAACACTCTGAAATTATGCTTACAAAAATGGCGACCGTTTGCAAAACATGTTTGGTTTCAACACAAATTCAACGTAGCGTTCAGCAGAACAATCGCAAACCGTTTACCAACGTTTGTATCTGGTGAACGCGGCCATGAGTTTGTCATGATTGATATAGTCCAACAAATACCATTTTAAAGTCACGTGATTTTTCTCTATCCTTATTGAATACATCTCAAACAGCGGTGATAGTAAAATTGACAAAAAAATTGCTGTCTAATTATTGTTCATAATATTCTTACCTGAAATAGAATCCGTCACTGTCATCAATTAGTTTGTCAAATTTATTTTCGAAAATAATACAACGAACAAACACAGCTAATAATTTTGACTATATTAACCTTTTTCCAACTCGAAAAAAAGCAAATAGAAAACGGGTACCCAGTTTAAGTTCAGAATGTATTACAACAGACAGCAGATGCGACAAAAGTGAGTCTCGCAACAATTGCAAGTATTAAAATTGCCCTCTGATTGGTCAATACTATTTCAGAAATGCGTTTGTAAAATGCTAGTGGGAACATATATTAAAATTCAATAGTAATTAACCACCAGTAGCTTTTTGTAGGTGATATCAATGACATAATCAATGGACATACGTTTTTTGCCACCAATATCACGTGACTTTAAAATGCTATTTGTCGGACTATACAGGATTTACAGAAGCGGAGTCTGACAATCTTTCCTCTATTCATCCATTTATGGTGGTTCAATATCAGTCGTGGCGTGACGTGAGCTGATCGTAGACCAATCGTTCTTCAGGACCCAAGAGTGAACCATGAAAGCGTGGACCACGTTCGTTATTCACGGTCAGTGTAAACTACCCTTAACCTTGGTTTATGAACAGTTGACGTCACCGGAAGCGGCCATGTTGAACGTAGGTTTTCCGCGCGAAACTTTTTAATTTGAAACTAATAATTGCCGTATGAGAATAATATCGATAAATAAAATGCAAAACTGCTCATATTCAATATTTTACAGAAAAATGTGCACCATAAAAGCAAAATGAACCATATTTATTTCTCATGAGAATTCCCTATTAAAACATTGTCATTCTATTTATTTTTGGACATTTTTACTGTGAAGAACAATCAAAAATAAAGTGCTTTCCTCAAATTGTTTTTGTGCAAAGTGTGTGACAATAAAATCCACATGGTTTGCAATGAAAATGTGACGGCAAACTTGGTGTCGGTTATAAGAGATGGCGCCGTATGCGGGCTTAGTGAGTTTTTTTCATAAATAAGTAAAATAGATACATTTTTTTTTTGTTTTTTTTTTGGATTTTTCGATTTATTATGTTAGGATGGACAAAGACAAATCCAATAAAGCAAAAATCATAAAAATCAGTCCAGCCGTTCTCGAGTTATAAGTGCTCACACACCAACACAACTGTGTTTTATATATATATAGATTATGATATTAAGTAAATGCTTCCACTTCTACCTTTAACTTGAATCTTTTGCTTATACTTCTACCTACCTACAAATGCTTTATTTTTATTCATACGGTTGATTCCCTCTTCTTTACACCAATTTTCGGTAATGTTCAGTGTCAGCTGCATTCTTTTGAATACAGTGGTCAAAAATTTGTTGGTTTCCTTTGGCACTCGAGCCTCAGATTGAAACAACCGGTAGTACCTTTTACTTCATTTCTTTGAAGCTTATGCTCGCAAGTAAAAGGTCTTCATTATTCATATGTTATGAAATAAATGCTTCTACTTATACCTTTTACTTGAAGTTTTTGCTTATACTTCTATCTTCTGCTTAGAAGCAAAAGCTCTATTTTCATTCATACGGCTGAATAACTATTTCAGCTTGAGCGTCGTATACATGTTATACTCCGGCGGAGTATAACATTTATACGCCGTTATACATATTTTCCCATAACGATTTCAGGTAGTTCACTTGTACATACAGGTATAGGTGCTTATAAATATTGTAATATAATATAAAAATAATATAATTGAAAATAAAATTGAAAATTGTGCACTTTTTGGAATAAAGATCGTTTGAAAATAAAATATTGTATTCCATTCGGAGTATAAGTATTCTTCATGTGACTTCCATGCGCCTCACATAAGTATTACTTGACGCGCATGGAAATTTGAACGCCGAGTACATCGAGGCAAATCAAATCCATGCAAATAATACTTATACTCCAAATGGAATACAATATTTTATTTTCAAACGTCATATAACCGTAATTTTTGTGATCATTTTGACAAGATATAAGTGTCACTTCAATGACTTTCAGCTTGAGCAGCGTATAGGTGTTATACTCCGCCGGAGTATAACATTTATACGCCATTACACATGTTTATTTATTGTGATTGCTTCCTTAGCGTTCAGAATTCATTCTTAATCCTTACCGCGCGAACAAAGCTGATTATAGGTACACTTAAAAATAATTTTCCATTATGTCTGTTTCCTGTTTTTGTTTTTCCTTTTTCTGTTGCATTCAGTCAAATAATTATTTGTTTTTTAGGGGCCATAAAATGTTACTTTTGCAACGACGATAGAAAACATGGCAACTGCGAAGATCGCTATTGGCCAGTTTTTGATTGCGATGGGAGCTGTGTCGCGTATGAGGCTAAGATTGCAGAAAAACCAAAAAGGCTTCCCCAAGTTTATGCTGCAAAGTGGGTGATATTTTCTGATCTAATCATATTTTTCCATAAATTATCACGTAGCTTTCCTAAATCCAAACATATCATATTATTTAAAAAAAGATTGTACTTTTATAGCTACATGAGGAGATGCGTTGATTATCCAGGAGAAGCATGCAGCTTCATTAAATCAAGAATACTTGATACTTGGTTCGGCGTTCCAGAATTTCATTGTGAGGAGTGTTATGAGGACTATTGCAATAATAGAGCAAATCATCCAGGAACTAAGCTCACCTTTTAAACGGGGGTTCAGATAAGTAGGCAAAATAATACTTATTCATTCAAATATAAAATGAATTTATCTGAAAACCACTGGTGTTTTTTTGTTTGAATCTAGATACCTAGCTATATTCATCCATTAAGTGCGACATGATCTTGACATAAGGAGATCATGGCCGTATTGTGTATAGTTAGCTACACAACATTGAAAGACTGGACTTGATTCTTGAAGATCCAATTACAAGCTTACAACATTAAAAACTCAATCAATGGCATGTAATATTGACAGTTGAGTTGAAGAGGGCGCTTCTGTACTTGGATCTCTTCAAATTTTGGCGCGTAAAAAATCTATTGTAATTTTTAACTCAAACTTAAGTTTGATGTGTGGTTTCAAGACAAGCTGACGCTGACACTTTTAAAAATATTCTCTAAGGGCCACTGAACGCTTTGGAAAATATTTTAACTTATCCATTGTCCATTGTTCATATTATGTAGTCATCATTCCTTCTACTCAATTTGATCGGTTTGAAACTATTGACATTTGCCGCCAAAATTTAAAGCACTCCAAGTTCACTCACGCCCTCTACAAAATTTCGAGGAACTGAATATTTGCTGCCATTTCCATAGTGGATCTTTGACAGAGACTGCCATTATTTGTCTAATTATTTTAGCACACCACTTAACATGTCACCCATCGGATGATGACTGAAAGGGTGCCTTATGTTACGTTTATGCACGATAGGGCGGTAAATTCAACTTGAACTACGTAGTTGAACTTACCACCCGCTTCTTTTAGGAGATAAATCACCTAGAATTATTTATTATATTTTAACCAAAAACTATAACTACATATTTTATTACCAAAATCGGTGTGGATAACCATGAAAAACATGAAAGTTGTTGATTTTTGGAAGATTTCCAAATACAGAAGTCGCCAATTTTTCAGGGGAAACGCGCCTTTATATAGGAAGGAAGACTCTTGAAAACAATGTCAAATGGATGTCATTATACATAAGGTATAGCATAGAAAAGTGATTTATAAATTCTTAAATATATGCTTTTCACTTTTGGCGTAGCATTATCCATGGAAATTTGGCAGGTTGACCCTCGTATAATAATGACAGTATATGTCAAATTCCAGATAGTTTTAAGTGTGGTTTACATAATTTCGTAAGTGCCGCGGTATTAAAATTTTCTGGCCTATCTGGCAAAATAATGCTTTATTATAAACGGTACCTAACTATTTTGCGTACCTGCAAAATCTAATGACATTTTTTAAAATTCGGCATTGTCAAATTTCTTTCGTATTGAAGATGCCGAAAATAATCTCAGGGGGCCAATTCTTGAAAGTGGTGAAAATATTCACCCGGTGAAAAATTTCACCGCCTAATTTTCACCTGTCTCACTCGTTTTGTATTCTTGAGTCGTGGGTGAATTTACTTGAGGTGAATATAAAATAACACTTTGGCAACGTCGAAATATAGCCTTTTTAGGAGGAAAATTGCTAAGGAAAATTGAAAACGCCTACAATTCTTAACCTTACTTTTGTGTGGGTTTTTTTTTTCCGCGACCGTCAACGTGTCAACTGACCGCCGACCGCAGCAATAATTTGTTTTCGAAAAATTTAAGCATAAACTATTGCTATTTTGCCGTGTAAATTCAACAGTTGAAAGAGATGTCTAAGAAATATTGTGGACATGCAACCACGAAGCAAAAAGAACATCTAATTCAAGTTGTGAATGATGACGAATTGAGAAAAGGACGATTTTCAGATTCTTGTACAAAAAGCTTTACAAAGCTGATATTGTTGGAGCTTCTAAAATCTGTTTTTTTTTTAAAGATAAATCCCCAAATCAAAAATTTAGTAACTTTGTTGGCAACACAAGCCTTTTCTACATGAAAAATTTGAAAGCATTGACAATTTTACATTGTATTGCCAACCTAATGTCAGTTTGACTTTTATCTTTAAAAAAAAAAAAAAAACGCACTTTAGAAAAGGATCTTAAATTTCTATAAGAAGGCGAATAAGAGGTTTGGTTAACCTGAATAATTTCTTGAATAAAAAATCTGTATTTCAAAAGGATTTTCTCGTCTATGTCTCATTCTATTTCCCTCGCCAACCGCTGCATCATCTATGATGTCTCCAATTTCAATTAGGTTCATTAACAATAGCTCGTTTTCCATAATTTATAATATAACAATTAACAATAGGTTCACAAGCCAGTTATTTTATAGGAAATATGAATTAAAATACAAAATCAGAGTACTCTGACAAAATAGTCAATAATTATTGACAATAAACAATTACAAAACAAATTACAAAGTGCCGAATTAAGGTTAGAAATGCACGCTTTCACCGAAATTTGTAACATTCACCACCCTTTTCGGTGGTGAATCTATTCACCCAATAAAAGGTGAAAATTTTCACCATTTTTTTTCAAGAATATGATTATGTAAATTTTTGGTAAAAGCTTAGCAATTCCACCCGGTGAATATTTTCACCACTTTCAAGAATTAGGCCCCTGAAGAAAAAAAAAGGGAAATATTAAAATGTCATGGTTATTTAAAACAAATAAACCAGAGGCTCTCCAGGGAACAATTGAAGCCCAACTTGCAGATATATTTGAGGTAGGTAGGTATAACTTAAATGTAGATGTGAAGCCATTTCTTACCCAACCAACATTTTCCTTAAATTTTAGGTGGGAACCAGGACTATTCAAAGAATTTTGACTGGACAATATTTAATCAAAAAACCTTTAGGTCGACCGAAAAAACAGAAACTATTATGGACCGAATGTTTAAAGAAGATTTACAACGACAAATTTGGAAATACAATTCTAAAAATGAATATTTTACATTACAAACATTACTGACATACGCAAAAGAAAATTTGGAATTTAAGGGAGGGCAAACAAGTTTATATAAAATTTTAAAATCTATGGGATATAAAGGACCCCGCAATATTTAAATGGAATTTGGTTACCCGTGATATTTGGATGAAATTTAAATATGTTATTGGGGATGCCGTAAGCAAAATTTTTTACCATGAGCACAATCCTGTATACATGACAGGTGAGGCGTGGTTAGCTGTCAAATATTGGAATCTTATATCCAAAAGCAGAGTAACTATGGCAGATTTTGATGAACAAAAAATCTATTTCTACTAAGTCGACCAAGTTAAGTCGAAAAATGTCAATCATTTTGACACCTGTCAAAACCCTGCTAAACGGCAGCACTCATCTTTTCCAGTTTTCAATATTTTATGATGTCATTTGACATTTTTAACTTGTACATAAATTCTGAATTCAAAAATTGAAAAAAAAATGACAGAACTGTCAAAACCTGTCATTTGTTTTAGTAGAAAAAAATACTCTAATCTGGTTCTTTCTCGTTTTAAGGTAGTTTATTGGTGATAAAACATTGAACAAAGTTCATGCACGTTACATTTTGACAGCTGTCATAATCTGTCAATAGCTGTAATTCAAAAAAGAATCAAATCTAGTTCTTTTCCAATTTAAGTTAGGCTTACTTATGATAACGCATTAAAAAACATTATACGCAGGTTTCAGATTTTGACAGAGATGTCAATTTTCGTTTTAAAGTATGTAGTTTTAGTATAAGGGATTTTATTTCATTGAAGTCATTAAAGTACTCAGTACTATAATGAAATCATTAAAGTACTCAAACATTTTGACACTTACAAATGAAATCCACAATGATATAATTTTTTTCAAATTTTGAATTCAGAATTTACATACAAGTTAAAAATGTCAAATGGCATCATAAAATATTGAAAACTGGAAAAGATGAGTGCTGCCGTTTGGCAGGGTTTTGACAGGTGTCAAAATGATTGACATTTTTCGACTTAACTTGGCCGACTTAGTAGAAATAGATTTTTTGTTCATCAAAATGTGCCATAGTTTTGCTGCTTTTGGATATAAGATTCCAATATTTGACAGCTAACCACGTTTCATCTGTCATATATACAGGATTGTGCCCATGGTAAAAAATGTTGCTTACGGCATCCCCAATAACATATTTTATTTGCAATCATATATGTAATCTTGTCATTACTGACTTTTTAAAAATTTGGAAGTGACACTTTACCTGTGTCATTTCCCTCTTCGATTTCCCTCACCGATTTCCCTATTCGACTTCCCTCACCGATTTCCCTCACTCTAATTTATTTACCTTTGCTGGCAATAATGAGAACATGTCAGGTAAAAACGTCAAAGTAGTGAATGACACATTTTGGCATGTTTGTTTTATTTTTTTAATATTAAAAAAATTGATTGACTAATCATAATTAATGGTGTGCTTGCAAATAAAATAGTATACAAACCTCGGAGGAAAGTTTTCATTTCTGTCTCGAGATTAATAGTCAATCTCGACGCTTCGCGTCTCGATTGACTATATAAATCTCTCGACAGTAATGAAACACTTCCCTACTCGGTATGTAATATACTATAAATTTTATCCAAATATCACGGGTAACCAATTTCCATTTAAATATTGCGGGGTCCTTCAAAGCAGTAAATGGACGCAAAATTTTATGTGAGCAGAAACATGTTCTTGCTGCAAAAATTAAATTTTGCGGAAATACCTGCAATATAAACATTCAAACGAAAATATCAGATTCGTGTATTTAGATGAAACTTGGATCTACCAAAACGGATCTCAAGTTCGTCGATGGATACACGAATCTGATATGATAAGCAACCCATCCAAAATTAAGTCAGAGGGGAAAAGTTTTACAATTTTGCATGCGGGGAGTAGTTCTAGGTTTTTAGATGGGTGCGATTTTTTTCTAGATTCAAGAAACAATGACAGAGACTACCACAATACCATGAACGCGGACATTGTCCAAAAATGGGTTGTTGATCAACTAATTCCTGCATTGAATATATTTGAAGAGAAATGTGTAATAATCATGGACAATGCTCCATATCATTCAGAGCGGAAGGATAAACCACCTACATTCTCTTCAAAGAAAGACAAAATACAGGAATGGTTGGTTAAACATAACGTAGACTTCGACACAAAAATGACCAAAAAACAACTATGGGACCTAACTCAACCATTTCGGAATAG